TAAAACGTTTGATTTGTCTTGCGTGAGAATTTGTTACCGGCAAGAGCGTGATGATAAACAGTTTTTATATAGATATTTGCTTCAGGAGAATGTAGAAAACTATACCTTAATACGTTTACAAAAACCATTTCTTTTTCAGATCTTGATTACCAAAGTGGCCAATAGGCTATCTATCTATTTACATTTTTATTTAATATGCCACTTTTTAATAGTTCTGGATCGAAATAGAAACCCATCGAACTAGGGGCCAGACTTCTCGCTCTCACTCCCGAAGGAGGACCTTGCAACCACTAGTCCAACCATTAGTTGGTTTAATATGTCCACTCATGAATGAATCTATCATGTTTTAACCAGAATGCAAGTAGACATCATTTCTCGTGTTACCATCCGCACTTGCATGTAAATGATAAAACTTATTTTGGAAAAAAAAAATTATTTAAGAAGAAGTTAGAGAACTATAATCCTTTGGTCAAGAAAAACCATTCAATAGCATAGTTCAAGAAGACATTTATTTTAAAAGGTGATTTTCATGCATGAGTTGATGATCATTCAGGTGGATAAGAATCTTTGAAACAATTCCAATGTCCGAAAATAACTCCTTATGGTCACGTACCGGGACCTCTACGTTGATGTCTTATATTCGTAGGCCGAGATATGCTGGGGCTTACAGAAACCTTGATCTTGTTGACGACTTTGTGATCCCAAACTCCTTCTCCTGTTTCTTTACCCAAAAAAAATAAAATACTAGTTTTAAGAAATAATAAACTGAATGGAGAGGCAGAGAAGAAGTTTGTCATAACTCGTAACTTACTTTTGAGAGATTTGTAATCGTATGGTAATCGAGCGAAGACTGTGTTTGATGATGCATATAACACGAGAATGATCAAAGTTACTAACCGAACCACGTCCATTTTTTTTCTTTTAGGATTTTTGTTGGTCTAATTGCTAAACTCTTAAGGTTTATAAGTTCTGTGATATACTAATATGTAACGTCGTGTATTTATATGTAAAGAACATGCATATAGGTTACGTGGGTTATGTACGTCGTTATTCCTTGATATCACATGTATATACTAAGGAAACTATTGATTTTGATTTGGAAAATTTAATAAACACTTCTATTAGTATATTTATATACTTTGTTTTAGAAGATGTTACTTTGACTCTTGAATTACTTGTATGAATCTGAATTAGTCCAACTTCGTATTTCTCGTGTGAAGGACAAAAAGACGGAGACCAAGTTAATTTTACTCGTGAAGGATAAGCGCCTTGTTCTTGTGGTGTTTCCCTTTCATTTTTTTTTTTGTTTTTTGGAATTATGTTTCCCTTTCATTTTGGGCGGGACATTGTTCAATTTTAAGCATATGCATTAATTTGAATATGTAGACCAATTTAGCTTATTTTGGGACGGTGACTACCCAAAACGTCTTTGAAAGCACTTTTGTTTGTGTTGTGTTGCATAAATCAAAGGGTACGGTTGTCTATTACATTCGTGAGAAGAACTACAATAAACAAAGCACATATAAAAATGGAGTCAAATGTATGTATTCAAGGCTTATTACAAACAAAATAATATTAATTCACATATGTATGCATTCAAGTCTTATTTTATATTGAGATGAGTAGGACAACGTTATATGGGATCTTGAGAATGTATCCATTCGTAGTTCAAACCAAATTTATTCAACTTTTTGGAATTTTTTTGTCTAATAACAAAAGATTTTGCTGTTTAAATTAATCTCATTTGAACTTAGAACATGGACTCTGTTCTTCACATCAATTAAAAATTAAGTTGGACCAATTCAGAGAAGACTGGATTTCATTTATAGAAGAAATATTGACATGTACAAGCTTCTTCTCTCTATATATGCACAAGCATATATTTTGAAATTCATGTTTTTAAATCAGCGAAAAAATGTACATAGTCCTGGTATGCTTGCTAAGTTTTCTATTGTTTTCTGGATTATCAAACATATCATTGGCCAGAGTACAGTACCAATCTCCAAAGCCAAGTAAGTTTTTTACGTTTTTAGTTATTCTTAGCATTTATATACCCAATCCTCTTTTGTTTTGGTTGTCGTTCAAATTTTACGGATTGTAAAATAGAAAAATTGAATAACAACTGAATATTGCTCACTTTGGTTATTGTTTGATGCACTTTGTTTAGCAAATTAATAAACCTTCAAATCAAAGAGACATAATTATGGTTTCTTCATAAATGGTAAAATTGAACTGAATAATTTTATTTCTTCTTCCTTTTGAACGATTTGATTTTTTTGGATAGGTTCAACTGGATTATATAATTTAGTAAAAACATTCAATAATAGTTCAACTGGTTTTTTTTTGGAGATAAATAGGAGAATGGGTTTGGGATCAAAAGGTGATCAGAGAGATCAAGATTGAAACGCATGGCAGTTGTTCACCTCCTGGAGGACAAGGCCACAATGGTCAAGGCTCATCACCACCAAAGAAACAAGACCCACGAAAACGATGTCCTAAACCTTAACGACAATCAGCTAGATATATGCATGATATAATATGAGCGATTCAAATATGTAATAAAAAATTTAGCGATTCAAATATAAACTTCTTCGTGAAACTATATTAGAGGACTGGAACGTTTTCTTAAATTTAGTATTGTGTAGGTTTAAGTTCTAGATATTTAGAGTCTGGCTTGTATATCAAATGACTAGCAGAACAATTGAAAAAATGTCACGGGAACAAACAGAACTCGATAAAATTTTCATAAAATAATTATAAACACAGAAAATTAGTTGTAGTTGATTAATCATGTTTTCCTGTAGTTATATCTTTAACATGCTAGTTATATATAACAGACTTACTTTTCAAAAACAGGAAAATCTGAAAATTTAATAATGTGAATGGTAGAAAATAGCAAAATCACATTTATAAAACGTTAAAAATGTGATAAATGGTATATCATTCATCATTTTAGAAAGTCTTTGTAAACCAATCTATTTTATATTATTAATCTTTCTGAAGAAAGATCCTACGACGTCCATAGGATGTTTTAATATAATTATCGCCTTATATCACCCGTAGTCGATGATTAAATTAAATAGGAATGTCACCAATATCGATAACTTAATTTAATGTAATTTACAATTGGGTAGGAATGTCAAATTGTCAACCGTAGCAAAAAGAAAATGTAGGTGTTAATTTATTTGAAAACCTTGATTTGTGAGATAATTGAAGAAAATATAATCAATTCACACATATGTACTTTTATGGAAAATATAATTGAAAGATTTTTATTCTATGGATCGGAAGGTTACTAGGTTCCCTCCTGATATGTTTTAGTATATATATTTTAAGAAAAACTGTTTATCACTTGTATTTTGTTCTTTTCTGACGCAACAAAATTGTTTATTTAAGCCTTTCAGAAACTTTCACTAGAAACTTAGAAATATTTTCAACGACTTAGAAAAATTAGTCCACTAAGTCGAATTAGAATCTTCAGAACAACTCCATCGTCATTTTCCTTTAGCCCGCGATGATTTACTGGACTTTGCTTCACCCCTGAACTTGATGAGGAGCTTCTGATCCCAAAACCTTTCTGCAATTTCTTTTCCAACAAACGAAAACTTTGAATATTATTTGTTTCTAAGAAATATAAAACTGAATCGAGAGATGAAAGAAAAAGTTTCTCATAATTTGAAACTTACTTGAATAGAGAGATTCGTAACCGTATGATAACCCAGCGAAGATTGTGTTCGATGATGCAAAGAACAAGAAAATTACCAAAGTTATTAACCAAACCACGTTCATTTTTATATGTATTGTTTGTTGGTCTAAACTCTTAAGTTCGATTAAATTTTGTAATGTGTAAGTCGTGTATTTATATGTAGCGAACATACTGTTAGGTGAGTCAAATCGTTAAGTGTTTGGTGAGTCAAATCGTTAATTTAAAATTTATATACTAGTCTGTAGAAGCTGACATTTTGATACTTGGTTTCGAGTTTCTTGTATGAATCTGAATTGTTCGAACTTCATTTTTCTCTTCTATAATACTCTCTCTCTTTTATAATAAGTGTCATTTGTAGAAAATGTATCTGCAATATATCTGGATATATTAAATTCAAAACACATCCAGATATATCCAGCTACAATACAGATATATTTTCTCCAAATGACACTTATTATAAAACGGAGGGAGTATATAATACGTCTTGTTAAGAACAAGTTGGAACATAACAAGACTAAGACCAAGACCAAAAAAAACATATTTTATAGCGAACTTTATGTCGCTCCTAATTCCTATTTCATCACGACGCCTTCTATTTTATGTTATGGGTTTAGATTTTAGTTCAAGTTGCACTCACAAATCCTTTTTTATCATGTATAATAATAAAATTCTTAAAAATTACTTTTTTGATAAATGAAGTCATTTATGTTGTGCTCTTTCTGTTTGATTAATTGACTCGTAAGTGAATAATGGTGCAGGTAGAAAATGCTGCGAGACAGTAACCAAATTTCATACAAAATACTGTTCTGATTGAATAAATGATTAGAAAGGTGCTCTTCACATTCGTAGTAAGAGAAGAATTATAGCAAAGATGCACTCTTGATGAGAGATTGGTCTTGTCGTGAAACATAAACTCTTTATTTTAAGTTTCCTTTTTACAATCATATAAAAGAAAATGAATTTGCCTTTTTGGTTTTGTTTACTATCACAGAATAAGAACTAAGAAGAGAAGTTAAGCAAAAAAAATAAAAATAAAAGCTTTGACCTAACAAAAATGTTGAGGGCAATGGACAAGACTATGTTATAAGGCCCATAGAAAATGCAAGGCTCAGACTATGTTATAAGCCCAGAATCATGTAACGTGGAATCGTGTATTAGGCACACGACAAAGGATAATCAAATCATATTTTTCCAATCATGAAATTTTGCGTTGAGATAAAACAAAACAAAACAAAAATTGATAACTATTTCTAAATTTGAGCCTAGAATAGAATTTCTCATTGGGATTTCTGGTTTTCTATGTTTCACACTTTTTAAAAGAGAAATTTTGTTAAACAGATAAATATACGTTCTTGAGTCAAAAAAATTATAGTAAAATGTGTACCCTTTTTATCTTATGGAATATAATCCAATCAAGTACATATCAAGCAATCTTGTGGAATTCAACAACTGAGAAACAGAGAGATGTAAATGGAACTTGGACACTAGAAAATCCAGCAAGGCGAGCTAAGATCTCGAATTCTGTCTTTGTTCTTTCTTTCCCTGATGGGTTCATGTTCATCATGAACAACTCAAACTGAAACAAGCTTCTGTCTAAGAGTGTATCTCCTGGAAAATCTGGGATTACCATATCGATCACAATCACTTTACCGTTTAACGGTAGCGATTGATAACAGTTTCTGAGTATCTTCACGCAATGCTCATCGTCCCAGCTATGGAGCATCCACTGTTGTAATTGTAACACAACACACAAGAAACCTTAATGTTAGCATTTAAAGTATAATTCTCTTAAAAGACTTTAAGGATAATTAACCTTCATGAAAATGGCTTCTCCTTTAGGAATGCTTGTAAACATGTCTCCAGCAACATTCTCAATACCTTAAACACACACAAAATTATGACTTTTTCGATTCATTTTTACAATACAACAAGAATATTTACAAGAACTTATATATATATATATATATATATACGTGGAGAAGCTGATGATGAAGTGTTGATAACAGAGGACAAATCAAAGTTTATAGCTTTGATGATGTGAGGATGCTTGGAGATGATTTTACTAAGAACAGAGCCATCTCCACCACCAACATCCACCAATGAATTCAAACCATCAAAACCCGTGTAGTTATTCACAACTTCTTCCATGAAAACTTCATTGAAACCTCTCATAGAGCTTTGGAACACTTCTCTGAATCTTGAATCTCTGCCAACCAACTCAACCGCGCTCGAGCCATGAGTCTTGTTAAATGGAAGCCCTCCTTCTAGAACAGAGTCTTTAAGGTTATACCTTAAACAAAAAATCATTATCAATCAGGACTCTTTCAGATAACACAAGAAGACAGAGTCAAAGATTCACAGAGAGTTAGGATGATGTTTTTGATGATGTACCAGATATCAATCACGGCCTTGTCCTGAAACAAATTCACCAGCGGAGCCAACGAGCCACCTCCATCTTGGTTCTTAGTGAAGTACTTGGCAACAGGAGCTAAGCCATAGACCGAAACTGGCTCACTTTTGTCAATGGAAACAGAGCACGTGACTATAGAATAGCTTGCTAGGCATCGAAGAATCCGATTGATCAAGCTTGAATCATGATGTTTTTGTGTTTGGTTAGACAATAGAGACGATATCTGAGAAGCAGAGAGGGGAGAAGAAGGGTCAGATCCGGCTAATATGTCGAAGAGGCCAAGATCTATGGCTGTCTTCAGAACCATGGGAAGAACAGAGGAGCTTGATAGAACCATGGCGTACAAGGATAGGTTTTCTTCTTCCATCTTCGGATTCTCTTGCTTCCTGAATCTGAACCAAGGCAAAACGTTTTTGAGAGTTTTAGTCAGAATTGTGAATGCTTCATTTCTTTTGACTATAAAGAAGAAGTAATCGATTTTGATATGACTAATTCTGCTGACAATTTTCAAGAAAATGGGACAATTAAATATTTTGATTCTTTTAGTAAATAAATGTTGAACCAGAAAATCACTACTAGGTTTAAGTGATTTACGGTTTGATCTAGAAAATATCAATTTGGAGTTTGGAGATTAGGTCATCGAAAAGATGAACTACTTGGAATTTTTATCAAGTTATAGCTAGACCTTTAAAAAAGACTGTCTATGTACCCTTGCAAAGGGATCAAGCCATTCGTAATTCGGTTGCGAAGTGTTTAGACAGAAGAAATCTAGAGAGAATTAGGTCTTCTCTCTAGATTATAGATTTTTTGGTGGTTGCTTTAGGTTGGGTTTTTATCCCGTTTTCTGATCATCTTCAACTTATGAGAAGCTCTCTATTTATAAGAAGGCGAGGTCGGTTCCTTTGACCTCGTTTTCCTTTTCGATTTAGGAATATTTCTCTTTTTCCCTTTAGGAAAAGTTCTTTTTTTCCTTATTCTTCGGAAGTTTGTCATTATCTTTAAATATTCTTCCTTAATCCACAAGTCAGTGTGATTTTCCTTATCTCGATGGGCTTCGATTATTGCTAGAGAAAGCCTTTTAGGAAATGTGCTCATTTCCCCTCTAACAGTAAGTCCCCCCCTCCCTCCAGTTCGGCGAGACTGATTGTAAATCAGGTCGGATTGGTTTGATCTTGCAATAAGCGTCAGCTTGTCGAGAGTGTCTTCCATAATTCGAGTTGGAAGGATAATTCTTCAAGAAAGTCGTTGCTGGTCTTGATTTACATCGCATTTTGGCGACCTTCACGTTGCACTTCGACGATTCACATCGCACTTCGGCGGATGCAGAATGTTGCATTTTATTGAATAAAGATTTCTTCTTTTTTTTTTTTTTAAACATAGCACCGCTTCGGCGAGAATGCTTTTTGCATTGAAGTTTATGCAACTGATTTTAGATGATTAAACCAGATAGAGTGCTAATTTTATCAGACGAAGTGATAAATTTATCTAGTCGACTTAGACAAATCAATCAATCGAATTGATAATGTAGCGATGCTTTTCAAAGCGTGTAATGGTCTTTTGAAGACATAATGCTCAAACGCTCGTTGACGAGGTGATCCTTAACTTTGAAGGATTTGCGAAGTCGACTTTTCGACTTGCGATGCAGGGCATTCTTTAGGCTGGTGCTGGAGGCGAGATTCATTTGCTCGTCTTATACCAAACGACAACGAGATCGAATACCAAGCTTTCAGGATTCACTTTGGCCCAAAAGGTATGATCAAGGATCGTGCGAGTATTGTCCTCGTCTTTCATCTTATTCACTTCAGAAGTAATTAAATTGAACCAAAGCTTCAAAGGGTGGTGATCAGCCACATAATTTATTTGTGTTTTAAGTCAGATGTTTGGCCAGAACGTTGACTATATTAAATGCATTCGCATAAAATAGCTGGAGAAGAACTCATGCCGAGTTGAAGAGGCTTTTCCAATGCCGAGTAGCAATGTTCTTGAACTTGGGCTGAAAAGAATCTACAGTATTTGCGATTTAATGGTGAGTGTCAAGTATTTACTAGAAAACTTATCTTCTAGTGATCGATGCGGAGGACTTGAGCAACAACGTTGTTGTAGAAGTTGGTGCTCGAATGCTTGCTTCGAGCATGTTACTTATGCTTCAAACAAAGCGATGCTTCAATCTCATGCCGAGATCATGTCGGATATTTCAGAATTTTGATGTGAATTTTCACGTCGGAAAATTAACTCACATCGGGATTATTGGCATGCGTGACTTGGAACTCTGCTTTATAAGAGTTATAAAACTTATTTTTCCTTGCTATGTGCGAGGCTCACAATGCTCGCGCGATGGAGGCTTACTTCTGCTTGGCTTATCTTCTTGGTTTAGTTCTTCTGTTTCTTTTTTGATAATTTGGAGATTTAGTGAGAATATGTAGTACTCGTTGAGCAGAGCTGTATAGCTTGTCGTTGTTGTGATTCTTGTTGTGTAAATCATGCTTGATTTAGCGGAATGGGAGCTCGTTTGTTGAGCTCGCCACATGCGGTCTTTAAAGACTTTGTTTGAGCTGAGCTGGCTTTTGCTTCAGATAGTCGTTGATTAAGACGCACCGAGTTAACTCTTCGTCAAAGTTTTAGGGCTTGATTCACAGCTCGGTTCTTCTACCATCGCGCCGCGATCATGGTTTTTTTTATAAACCTGCTTAATCTTCTTGCAAATTCTTTCAACGAACTTCACGCGCTATTAATTTAAGAGCTCGGTGTTGAATTTGCCAGGTTTAGAGTTCGGCTTTGACTCGCTTTGATTAGCTGTTCGTCTCTGTTGAACCCATAATGAATAACTAGAGAAAAGTGAGATCTCGAAATCATGACGTATTAAACCTAAGCTTAATTAAAGCATGCGGTGAACTCAGTAATGAGACACAATTAAAAGCGTGATAGTAAGTAGACTGGTGCATTAGTAAAGCTTATCTCGGCGAATGGTTTTGTGATTCGCTTCGCGGTAGAGTGCATGACTTCTAACGTCGGAATTGATGTTATCGTCTTGAACCTCCGCTTTCCATGTTTGATAATTCTCTAATCCCCACAGATGGCACCAATTGTTGAACTAAAAAATCACCACTAGATTTAAGTGATTTACGGTTTGGGTTTTAGAGAATATCAAATTGGAGCTTGGAGATTAGGTCGTCGAAAAGATGAACTACTTGGAATTTTTATCAAGTTATAGTTGGACCTTTAAGAAATGCTGCCTACGTACCATTGCAAAGGGATCAAGCAATTCGTAGTTCGGTTGCGAAGTGTTTAGACAGAAGAAATCTAGAGAGAATTAGGTCTTCTCTCTAGATTATAGATTTTTTGGTGGTTGCTTTAGGTCGGGTTTTCATCCCGTTTTCTGATCATTTTCAACTTATGAGAAGCTCTCTATTTATAAGAAGGCGAGGTCGGTTCCTTTAACCTCGTTTCCCTTTTCGATTTAAGAATATTTCTCCATTTCCGTTTAGGAAAAGTTCTTCTTTTCTTTATTCTTCAGAAGTTTGTCATTATCTTTAAATATTCTTCTTTAATCCACAAGTCAGTGTGATTTTTCTTATCTCGATAGGCTTGAATTATTGCTAGAGAAAGCCTTTTAGAAAATGTGCTCATTTCCCCTCTAACAGTAAAGAATCAGTCATGACGAGTTTAGCGACACAATCCGACGAAGGAAGCTTAAGTAAATACCAATCAATCACATATAAAAGCATAAAAAGCCATAGAGGTAGCGATTCGGTTTATGATTAAGGTTCCGTTCGGTTTTATAAACAGAAACCATATGCTGTTTGGTTTGGTTTGCTTTCTGCTATGGTTCAGACAGAATTTCACACATATCTGAGAATTTAACAATTTAAAAGCTATTTATAACTATTTAATAAATTATTATTGGTGTAATTTTTTTCAGTCATAATCAAATCATCAACATCAGTTTTCACACATAACTAACAATGTTCTTATGTAACAAAACTTATATTATAAAGAAAAGCTCTTCTGCCGTAAATTCTCAGATTTTGCTAACAGAACATCTATTGAGTTGTTTACAAGAAAGAGGACTTTCGTGAGTTTGAGTTACATTTAAGGCACTTGTGGCAATTCAATGACTTTTGCATTAAAGTGAGGTGTGGTGTTACTATTATACCCTTACTGAAGAGAAAGTTATTAATTATGCAGTAAATTTGACTCATCGTTTTACTCTGTTTTATTTTATGTTGCAGGCGGTGGGGGTCGGTTTATTCGGATTAGCCGGAATTAATGTATATGTATGTTGGAATTTCTATTGTCGGAGATAGTAGTATGAGTGTCGGGGTTAGGTGTGACATGTTGTTGGGATTAACTATTTGTGACATGTTTTTAGGATTAACTATTTCTAAACCTCGATGGAGGCCTTTGAATTTTACTAAAACTTTGTGAATTAAGTAATTAAGAGTCACCAAAAACCAGACTTTGCCTATCTCAAATCTTAATTTTTATAGATATCTTCGAGATCAGTATTTTATGGGTCAAGATAGTTGAGTTTTGAAAAATCAAGGATGCTTACGTCCTTTGTTAGGTAATTTGTGTATTTGTGTATTGGTTATTTGGAAGTGACGGTGGTGTTGTTCATCTGTGGTGAGAGAGGAAATTGTGTTTTAAAAAATGTATGTGAGATCGATGTGTGAAGTTGCCATGGATAGGCTGTTGGGGATAAATTGTTGTGGGCAGGCTTCGGTGGACAGACATGCTTCTCTTAGGTCATGGTATTCAACATTGATCGATAATGTTTTATTTTAATATTTTGTCCATCTAATTTTGTCCACAAAAACATGGTAAAAAACACCAATGTATACATAGCAGACTAAACAAACTTAAAAGTTCTCTATATAAGTTAGGTAATGATCATGTCAATTTCTATCTATTCGTGGTTAAATGTAGATGAGATTTTGCTAAATTCAAAGAACACACAAAAGATGAACAATATTCTCGTGGACACGTTTCCAATCGACATCATTCGATGGACACAAATTTGTATAGACATGCTTACATAGACACATACGCAAGGATATATCGTATTGACATGTTTAGGTGATCCAAATTTTCAAATAGGTTAGTGTTTTGTGTGGATATGTAACTGTGGACACTTCACTATGGACATGATCATATGTACATGTTTGTGTGACGAAAGTATAAATTCTTAACCAGAACTCGAGCAATTGTATTGACATAATCTCATGGTACAATGATTCTTTGAACATAAACTCATTGACCAGTTTATATTGTCTATATGGATAATAAATCTTGCAAAAAACTTGGTAAAATTGATTTTGTTGTCCATGAAGACACACATGCACGTTTATGTGGACATCATATCCTGTTTTAATTGTGTTTTAAAAAAATGTACGTGAGGTTAATATGTAACGTTTATGTGGATAGATTGTTGGAGATAAATTGGTATTGTTTTAGTATTTTAAGGGTATTATTGTCAAAGTAAATTTAAAGGTATTATTGTCAAAATATCTTCTCAAAGTCACTAAATTGCTGTAAGTACCTTAAATGTAAGATGAGTTTGAATAAGTACCCTTGAGTGTAAATAATTCACATCTATGCAAGTAGGCCGTAGCAACCACCATCATTCATAAGAAATTGATAAAGTAATTGCAACGACAAATGTAGCTAGATTTGAGATTTTACTAACCCATGTTTGCTTGGTGAGGCGAAAGCTCTTAAGAAACTTGAAATAAAAGAGCAATTTTGTGTATCTTTGGCTTCTTCTAGAGAGTGTCTTTCAATAGCATTTGGACCCAATTGAATAATAACCATCTCGCTTTCATCATTGTTATCTGCACTTTATAAATTCACAAGCCAATAGTGTTACCTTCATCATCAATTCACGGTAAACAATTATGATCAACAATAACCAATAGTGTTTATACCTTCTTTCATCAACCATGTGACCAAATATCCAGGCAAGAGAATATAGTTAAGCTTGGACATTACTAGGAAGAACTTGACTCTGGTATTTGCCAATCACATGAGATCCAATGCTGAAAGACTATTCAGAAACCACAGTGGTGATAGGAATGTTGAGCCCATCAATTGCCACGTATGTTAGTGCGTCAAAACAATCTATGTTTTCTTTTCAGTAATGCAAAACATTCAAATTAGAATGTTTTCTCATATATTTAACTTTCGATCCTCCAAATACATATTCAAAACTGACTTTCCTTCTTAATAACATGAGAAACTACTCTTGTAGAGCTCACAACTGGAGTCAAAGGAAATCTTATCTTCTCCTATATTCTTCAAATAGTTTATAAAGCTTATTTTTGAGGTGTTGTATTTTTTGAAGTGAATGGATCAACCTCATCATAACAATGATTCAATAGTCTGAATTTCATCCTAGGATCCAGAACAACACCCATTGCAAGAAGCGCGCAGATCTTCTTTAGATGGAAACGGAGGCGGCAAAGAGGAAGCGTGGCTTAGGCGTGTATGGGATGCATGCATGTGTTACACGGAAATAAAGTTAGTTTCAAAATGCTATATTGCTCCCAATATTTATCAAACCTGCTTCTCATCTTTGAAATCATATTTTGCATGGCGCTATCATTTCTTCTATTCACTTTTAACAAACACAACAAATAATGAGCTGATATCTAACGCTTACAACATTGAATTGTCATTTTAATTTTATTTGAGTTGTCGTATTTGAATTTGAATCGATATTGTATTTTGGATTGTTAGGTTCTTTGTTGAGATAGTTGGTTAATTTTAAATTTTCAAAAAAGAAAAAAAAATGAAAATATTTTTTTTAAAAAAATATATATTTCTTTGACATAGTTCACAGTGCCAAAACTTTAGATACTCAAATGATTTGAGTCAAACCTAATTTTTTCCTATTTTTTCATTATTCTGACTATGTATCAAATTCTTACTTTTATATCTTTTTCATCTAAATATTTTTAAATTGTAAATAGATTGAAACACCATAAATTTATTCCCTTTTTTTATCTATGTAATTTTTTTTTTTTTGAGTATTTTCTGATACTTTGTTTTTGCGGCATTAAATTTGTGGCTTTTTTTTTTCTGTTTTGATTTGAGCGCCTTTCATAAAAAAAACAATCTATGATATTTTTTTGAATTTCTACGAATATATTGGTTTTGCAACAAACTTTCCTTATACAGGACAAAAAATATTTGTAAACATAAATATAACTGGAAATACAAAATGTTAGTAAAATTTATTTATTAGTGATAGATTGAAAAACCAAAATATGAATTTCGGTTTCGGTTTCGTTAATTTGAATTTGAAAATAAATAAAATTTGGTTAGGTTTCGGTTTCAACCATTTCCCCATTTCGGTTTTAGCCCGTTGCGGGTTTCCTCCCACCCGAATAAAAACAGTGATCAAGTTTGAGTGTATGAGACCCAATGGGCTTTTCAATCGAAACCATTGGGTTGGCTTGGCTAGTGTGAACCGCGGATCAGGGGATAATGATCTCCTTTATCTATTTATCGTCACTGTCGGATAGAAAGAAAACTGAAAAGAGCTTCGTTTATTATTGCTGCGCTATTTCAGTGTGTTATCGTTGTTGAAGAAGAAGAGAAGGAAGAAAGATGCCAGGTCCAGTTTTGGAGGAAGAGAAATCGCAGGAAAATCTGATTGAATCCATCAAAGAGCAACTGAAACTCGAGGTTCGTATGCCTTTTCCTTCTGTTTGATTTTTCCAAATGAAGAAACGATGATGCTCCGATTTGTTTCCGTCGATTTTGAATGCTAATTTGTGGTGGAAAAAACAGAAGGAAGATGATGTTGTCGTTGAGGACGTGAAAGAAGGCGAGGAAGAAGACGACGACGACGATGATGACGCCGAAGGTAAAATTCATCTCCCCCTTTTCATTTCTCTTGGTTTCGATTCATTTTCGTTTGATTTGTTGATTCATGCGTTTAATTTCGAATGGTTTACAAGTGTTTCCGAAATTCGTGATATTTGGATAAGGTTAGATTGTAGAAATCAGAAACCACACATTGTATCAGGCTTTGAACGTATCTCTGTATCAAGCTTGAGTTACAACTTTTGGCTATTGTGTTTCCTAATTGTGACTTTTGCATTGGGATTTCTGATTTTCTGTGTTCATTGTGTGTTCTTTTAATGGTATATGACTCTGTAGGTGAAGGAGATGGTGGAAATGAGAGTTCCAAGCAAAGTAGAAGCGAGAAGAAGAGTCGTAAAGCTGTGCTGAAGCTTGGCATGAAGCCTGTCTCAGATGTCAGCAGAGTGACCATTAAAAGATCCAAGAATGTAAAAAACATTCTCTAACTATAAACTCTCATATCACACTTTTCTTGTGAAAACGATGTTTTGATTCTGAATAATATATTGCATATATATCAGGTGTTATTCGTCATCACGAAGCCAGATGTTTACAAGAGTCCCAACACTGAGACTTATGTCATATTTGGCGAAGCCAAGATCGATGATTTGAGCTCTCAGCTACAAACACAGGCTGCTCAGAGGTTCAAGATGCCTGACATGGCGTCCATGCTCCCTAACGATGCTTCTGAAGCTGCCACTGGTCCACAAGCAGAGGAAGAAGATGAAGAGGATGTTGATGTCACAGGCGTTGAAGATAGAGACATTGATCTTGTGATGACACAAGCAGGTGTCTCTAAGGCCAAAGCCGTCAAGGCTCTAAAGGCCAGTGATGGAGATATTGTCTCAGCCATTATGGAACTCACGACCTAGGTTTTGAGTTGCAGAGACACCGTTGCATTGTCCTTTTGCTTTTTGTTTCATTGTTTAACTACTTTATGGATACCATTTTTTCTTGGAAGATTATTAATTTTTTCACTGTTTTTCTTTGATTAACGCTCAAATAAGTGGGAATCAATATATAACAAAAAGCGTGATTACATCGTTAAAACAAGAATAACAAAGGTTTGTTTATACATCTGAAACCAAGCAGCATCAGGACCAAATATTCAGAGAGTATTAAAATCTTCAGCAACCAAAAGGCTCCATGACCATACACTACCCCAGGTTCTGGCAAGAGAAAGACAAGTTTGATCAGTGAGGATTATGTAAGTAAAGTAAGCATTGAGATTAGAACAATCTCATTCGCTCGAGTCAACATGACCATAAATAGAAGAAAAAGGGAACTGGTAAAAAGAGAGCACCAACTTCATTCTTCTGCACAATTAGTCTCACACATGTCAGCCACTTCTTACGAATAAGATTAGTCTCCATCCAGAAATTGGAGATCTTGAGGCTGTTCTTTGAAACTTACATGCCAACCTGCAAAATCGAAAGGAAATGCTCTAGAGGACCTTGTGCAAGCGTTACCAAATCAATTCAAAGACAAGGATGTGTATTTAGTTATGGATAATTTGATGTCACCTTTCGAATATCATCAAGAAGTTGGATTCGAAAGAGAAGTCTCGTATACCATCAAACACCTGTCTGCTTCAGCCTTCAGCCATAGGCTTTTATAGAACAGTGCATGCTGGTTAATCTGCTCCTCGCCTTGATGATTCTGTTGTTGGTAAGCACTTTTAGCCACAACCTGCATGTTATCAAACCAAAGGTCTACACCTCCCCATATAATACCAAACATCACATCTCTCATGTATGCAGGAAAAAAACCCATACCTGACCAAAGCCGTTATCTTTGGTCACACCATAATACAAACGAGAATCTGGGACCATCTCCCCGGAGTCCACAGAGTATTTCTCCTTCCTTTTAACATCAAGGTCGACAGTCATATTGTTTGTCCTTGGAAGCTGAAGGTCTCTAATCGATAGCTAATATAAGAAGATTTGGAATCATGGTGACCCATTAACACAATATCATTTCTGTAAACTCTACAAGAGATGATGCTACATATCCTACGTTCTAAGCGAATGTAATGTGCTTTCCATGTTCAATGAATTCTCATGTCTAAGCTACCAAAATATATACATAAGAACAAGTAGAAGTTTAGAACAACATACCTTACTCTTGTTAGGTAAAAGCTGTATATCATATGAATTGTGTCGTCCGATGCTTTTATACTCAGCCTGTTCCTGAGTGCTGTTTCTGACGTACAAGTTGAGATTCTGTACAGTACTGTTAATGAGATCAACCTCATCCGCATCAGGTGAATCTGAAGACTCTGAACCGTGTGCATGCGTTAGTAACTCCGACAGTCCATGCATTGTTGTAAGTAGCTTCTTCACATCCATTTTTGGTGATGACCCAGAAAAAGCTTTCACACCGCTTGAAGATGAGCTCGCCGCAGTTTCCACGACATGAAATGGAAGAGGATGCTTAAAATCTTTGTTACCCTGTACTGAAAGCGTAGTGTTAGGCTCCACCGCAAACCACTTAGTAGACCCAACGTTACTGTCAGCCTTTGGAGATATGTTGGGAAGGAGACGTTTCACATATACTGAGGATTGCGATAAATCTGCATCTACTGCATTATGATCCCAATAACCAGTTGGAGAATTCACCACTAGCGACGAATCATCTGCAGACTGGTAATTATCATAGCGATATGCTTTCCGTTTAGTATCTGCAAGAGAGAACTGACGGGCCAAAGGATTCAATTTCCGCTGACCATGAGACTTGTCGTTGGAGGTTCCAAGCTTTGCAGTGTATGAAGATGTCGAACCTGATTCATGAGCACCATACGAACTCTTGAAACTGTTGTCAAGCTCTCCAGAAGAGGCCACTACCTTGACCATATTAAGCGAAGTTAGGGCAGAAGTTGCCTCAAAAGCTCCTTGCTTCTCATGAACAGAAGGACTTAGTTTCGCACCAGAGGGAACAAAAAGAGGGGCCAAAGGATCCAACCTTTTAGATAGTTGGGTTTCATTTCTAGAATCCGAGATGCTCACGGTCTTGGAAACGCTATCTTGAGATACAAAACCCAAACTTTCATCTGCATTGTGGTTCAAGATGCTTATACTTCTTGCTGCATCGTTACTTCCATCAACAGGAAGATCGGTTAAGTCGAACTCTCCAGAGGACGATGGAAAATTCGAAGACAGAGACTTCTTCAACGACGAAGAACTCTTCTCTTCAAATTTCCCCACATCCGTGTCAACGTTCTTCTTAGAATTGGATGGTATAAACTGAGGTGCCAAAGGATTCAATCTATGAAACCCACTAAGATCATCAGTAGAACGCCTTGAAGCCACGGATTTGGCACCTGAGGCTAGTAGAGTCTTGCGAGATTGTATTCCTATCCAGCAAGGAGAATCCTCCTCAGAGTCATCTTGGAGAGAGCCTGCAGAAGATTTCTCAGAGATGAGAATTGTGTTGGCACAGGACGGTTCCATCTTATCATCACCAGTAACATTGGAGGGCGATTTCGAGAGAAGTTGATTAGGGTTTAGCAAAACAATCTTTTCCTCTAAAAGCTGTCCTTCTGCAAAATTCACAAGTGTCAAAGAAAAGAAAACACACAAAATCAGCTCTCGCAATTATCCGTTTATCCATAACACAAAGCAATAGATTCACTAACTAACATCAAAGAGAGAAGAGAACACAATACAAATTTTGTTCTCACCTTTGGTGGCATCTACATCGCGAGAGAGATTAGATAGAGAATCATCATCATCGAGGCCACTTCTCTGGTCATCGGAGGACAAGAAGGATAGGTCTAGATTATAATCACACCAGATAGAATATTCGTGCTCAGATTTGGAAGCAGTGAGAGAGAAGGAAGGAGAATCGATGGTGGAAGGAGAAAGACCGCTTCGTAAACCATCAATTCCGTTATTACACTGCTTCATCTCCTCTATATATCTCTCTCTGTGGCTCTGGCGGATTGTTGAAGAAGAAGAAGAAGAAGAAGAAGAAGGGAAGGGATATGAAGAAGGTTTTTCACCTTCCCCTCCCCATTTTTTTTTTCGTAGTTGCGAAAAGACGAAGAAGCTTATTTCCTTCAGGTCAAGAGTCGATTAAAGACGACAAAAAAACACGTCGTTGTCTGTTTACTCGTCAAATTCGGATGAGGACGAAACTTTCAGGGTTTGACATTTCACACCTTATATTTTAACATATTTTTATGTGTCCCTAAACTCTTTCGAATTTCGCACCAACATTTTATTAGTACTACTATGTCATTTATGTCGAATAAAGGGATAGGCACCTCGGTTTTCAGCTTGGTTTCAGTTTGATTTTTTTAAGTTTTACGATTTATCAAATTTATAAAAATTTAAACCATATAAAAATTATATAAATTTTGGTTTGGTATTGTTCGATTTTTTTTTGTTTTCAATTTTTGATTTTATAAAAAAATAAAACTATATAAAAACTATATGTAATTTGGTTCAGTTTTGATTAATTCGGTTTCAATTTTTTTTGAAATTACACTATTAAAAATCTTTGATTCAAGCAATGAATCTATACTAAATAAAAGAAACTATTTGGGGCTCCTTAAGCTATCCACCTCAGCTTTTCAAACTATTCTAAAAATATGACATATCAGCAAAAAATAATAATACAAATTCCCACTTTAGATTTTTTTGAAATATACGTAAAGTAAATAAATAGAACCAAAATTAATATAGTTAAATACAAGAGTAAATAAAAATAAAATATTATTTTTTGAATCAATAAAATAAATATTATTTAAATCTATAGCATCAATATATACTCTTTTGTTTGTAATATAACAAATTAACAATAATGAAAATTTTCACTTTAGATTTTTTTGAAATACACATAAAATAAATAAATAAAACCATTAAATTAATATAGTTATTAGCAAAAACTAAATAAAATTATATATCATTTTAATCAGTAAAATAAATATCATTTAAATCTGTAGCATTAATATATACTCATTTTTGTCACTAAAATTAATATAGTTACAAACAAAAGTAAATAAAATTAAAATATCATTTTTTGAATCAGTAAAATAAACATCATTTAAATTTATAGCATCAATATATACTTCTTTTGTTTGTAATATAACAATAAAAAAAAAATTTACTTTATATCTTTTGAAATACACATAAAATAAATAAATAGAACCACTAAGTTAATATAGTTATTAGGAATAAGTAAATAAAACTAAATATCATTTTCGAAATCAGTAAAATAAATATCATTTAAATCTGTAGCATTAATATATACTCCTTTTTGTAATATAGTGAATATATTGGACAAGAAATTGCTCTAAAAAACTTAAATAATAGTAAATAGAAACAAGATTACAAAATAATAATTTCTAAAATAAAATTTAAAACATTTACAAATTATAAAAATCTAAAACATTCACCTTTTAGAAACATAAAGATTAAACATCATAGTACGTTAGATTTATGACAACCAACAAGACAACATAAATTATAGGAAGCTTTTCAAAGCATCTATCTATATGAAGATTTCGATCATCGTTACTATTTACATTGCAGAAAATGATAGACAAAAGAAGAATTTCATGCACTGATATTTATTCAATGTGTGTCTTAGTTGGCTTAAGGTAGTCAAGTTACTACAAGCGATACATGTCAGCGCATGAGTTAAACAGTTAATAAAAAAAAATTAAGTTTTAGATGACAGTTAATTTTTATATATATCAAGTTAGTAAATTTTTAAATTAAATAATAATGCATTTTTGAAAAAATAACATACATATTTTTATGTAGAAGAAAATGTCTAAAAAAATCTCTAATTATCCACATCAACAAGATTTCTTATAAACCCAACTTGAATGAAAAACTAATATAGTTTTTTTTACAGGGTTAAGAAACTCCTTTAAAAATAATACAATATATATTATTAGTTTAATTATAAAGGCTCATCAAAATATATATGTGTAGTTTAAGAAAAAATGTTTAAGTTAAATTACAAGCAAAATTTTTTACATCTTTTGAGTTTTGAGAAACTCAACATACTTTATTTAACATAATGAGTTAGTATGAAATTGTATTTTTATATGTATTACTTGCCTTATTCATCTATATTTTTTATAGTTTACGTATACTTCATAGACCAAATCAAAATTGCATTTTATCAATATGATTGTGATTTTTTATACTATGTAAATATTGTTTTTATTTATATGAATCATAGTTATTTTATAGATTTATAAGAGATTAGAACATTGACTGTTGTTTGTATTTGAGATTGCTAATTAAATAAAAACACTACACGAACACAGTTGAAATAAAAATAAAAAAACTAAATTAATTAGAACAATAATAATCAAATTTAGTCAAAACAAAAAATAATTTTAATAATATTTTGAAAGTTAGTAGTGAATAACAGTGAGTTTATATACAAATATTAAGTTTTAGATTAACAGTTAATTTTAGCATATATCAAGTAGGTAATTCTTAAAATTATACCATGATACATTTTTTGAATACATTAAAATATTTTTGATGTATAATCATATCAAAACAATTTTAAAAATTAAATATTATATTTAAAATATTAACTTAAAGTGAAAATAATTTAACTTAGATAATAATCAAATATCTATATAAAAACAATCTGCGCGTAGCGCGGAAACATCCCTAGTAGAAATAGTAATAGTAGATTATACTAATGAGTAAAGTAATAAAATAATTAAAGAATATAACCCGGATGATAATAAGAAGTAAATACAAAATATTAATAAAAAAATAAATTTAAAAAATCCAAAACATGAACAGATTTTAAATCAGGGAGACAAAAAAACTTTTCAAAATTAATAATTAAAAAGCATTAAACAGAAATAAATGAAAACATAAACATTTTTCAAAACAGAGAAACAATTAAACCTTTTAAAATTAATACTTAGAAAAGGATAAACAAAAATAAATTAAATACGTAAAAAGTTAAAATTTAAAAAACTTCAGTGTGGTGAAGAAGGGGAAAATAGATTAACAAACACAAACGTTTTTTTTGTTTGATTAAGAAATATGATTTACAATTTTTATTATTATACAGATATTAAGTCTAATAAAAAAATATAAACAGAAACTAAATTAAGAAAATAGAAATATTTAGAATTTAATTCTAAACCAAAAACATTTTTTTTACAGTTTTTAACAAACAAAATCTAAACTAAAACTTTTTAAAAAGTAATAACCAAATAGATTTTTAAATTTAATAGTAACCAAACTATATCTCTGATTTGATATTTCAGTTTGGGATGATTTGATTTTTTTTTGTTACGATTGTTTTATCCATCATTAAAAATAATTTCTATCTTAACTATTATTTGAAAAGCATGTTTAATGAAAAAGTCTGATGTGTCATCACTTTAGCAAAATTTAGTGTAAATTAATGGTGACATGGAATTGTGACATGGAAAATTTTCTAAAATAAACGAAATATTTTAATTGGTTGAGATAATTAAATAAATTATAAAATTATAAAATAAATATACTAGCTTATAACACTAAAAATAATAAATTTAAATAAACGGAAAATAATAGTTACTATGATTTTAATTTTTTTTACATATATTCATAATATATTGCATAAAATATGATTACAAAAATTTTACAACTAATATATATTTTAAATTTTTAAATAGAAAATAATAATAGATTATCTAATAAGACAGTATATATGCTATATATTAATAATGTTGGGACTAATATATATTATTATTTGTATATAATTTTTAAACATTTTATATTATCGTTTTCTGAAATTTGTATAGCTTGCCTTACATTACCATTTCATTTTATCTCTTATCTTTTTTTTTAAATAAATTAAAAGTTTATATCATAGTCCTACTCATATATACAGTCTCATTGTAGATCGAGAATTTGAGATCAAAAATAAAATGCAATGTAACCAGATAAAAAATAAGTTATAAATAAGAAAAAACAAATATGAATAAGAATTAGAAGTAAAAAAAATCTCTATAGTTTTGTTTTTCCGTAACACTTTCAAACATTATTTAACGGAGTTCTTTGAAATATTAAGAAAGAAATTTTATAATAAACGCATGTGTGGCTCAAATTTTACAATGAATACATGCGTACAGACCAACCATAAGAAATTTATTTTCTTCATCAAACCAATTTCTCAATATTGGACAAAGAAATGAGCAAAGAGCTACCGGTTAATTTTATAAAATATGATTTTACAAATTTTATAACAAATATTTATTAAAAAAACTTATTTGATATAAATAAACATATGAATAAGAAGTAGAAGGAAAAGTAAAACTGAATTTTTACGACTTTGATTTTCTGTAAAACTCTCAGGCTGTGCTTTTGGTTTAAAATACCTCTAAACCACATTTCCTTAAATCTTCTAATTTAGGGAAAAAATAGCGATGTTATTTTTTTTCTATAATTGGAGGAAAAAGTAACAATCTTTCTTTTTCCATTAAAATAGAAATATGTTGGGGAGAAATCCACCTATATTTTAGAGGAAACAATAGAAAAATATATTGGAGATGATCTTAATATTTAATATATTATTCAAAGTTAAGAAAAAAAAAATACGAGTCAAAGAAGACAAAAAAGAATAATTTTGATCGATTTTATGTTTTTATTTTGAAATATTTAAAACATTATATCACACATATTAATGCTTTCATGCATATATTTTTTTCAACATCTTAAAATATTATTTCAATAATCAAGCCTTGTATATGTTATGATCTATTATATATAAGATTAACACATAATCAAAGTTAGGAACATGAGAACTCTTATTTTGTAATATAACAATTAAATAATAAATATATTATTTTACACTTTCAACCATACATATGTAAGGATCCGGCTGGTTTAAACGCTGCGGTTACATAGAGTTTGTGGAAGCAAGCGATTGCGGGCTATAAAAAATTTGATAAAGAGGTGAACGGAGAGCTATCAGAGAATTTTATAAAATAAGAATTCACAAATTTTATAATAAATCTTTATATAATTTTGATTGAGAAACCATATATCACAAAATATTAAAATATAAGAAATTTAGATTA